CTCAAGGGATGGTTCTAACCCTCCCCCACAATAACCAGTGAGGCCGTTTAGTTTTGCTGCGTATGCACAACGAATCCTTATGGGTGCCTTCGTCAAATAAAGTTCAAAATAACACTCCGTAGCAGCTCATCCGTACTCAGTAAGCCGGGGCTTATGTATTCTGTAGCGATTTTCCTTTGAAGATGAATGCGTGAGCATCATGATTCTCGTTGATAAAGTACAGTTCACGTTTTTCTCTATCCAAGTTTCCTCATCAAAAACGAAGGTGGCAACAGGTCACCTCATATATCATTGCATAGGACGCTACTAATCATGCCAATAATTAAGCGGGAAGCACAAATATGAACAAGAGTATGGACAACCGCGGAGAAGTCCACCGGCAGAGCGAAGTACGGATACGAAGATTCGTTAAAATGTTGCAAAAATCGATCTGAATGTTGACCCTAAATGGCTGCAATACTTAGTGCGCATGGATAAGCGAAAGTTCAAAGGCGACTAAGAAGCAACCCCCTCCAGTCCAGCTTCGTCTCGTCAAATCAAACTAACAAGTGCTGCAGAAAAAGAGGAAACACGCATCCTAGCTTTATTGCTGACAGAAAAAGAACAGCAACGGAGGTTAGGTGAGATCGTACGTGATTCACAATTTCAAAAGTGGGGCCTCCAACACAAGCCGATTGTCCTTCAGAACCGCAGTTGCTGAGCAGGTGTCAACTGTATGAGGAATAGCATAGGACTTGCAGAAAAGTGTTCTTTCGGAGCAGTGGATTTGACCATTGTCGGTCTTTTCATCATGCTTTTCAGCATGGCTGCCAGTAATACGCACGCTGTTGGCATTCATCCTGATGGTGATATCCTTCGGATCCAAGTGCGAATCCACAGGCACCTCCAAATGCAGCTTTCTGTGGTCCCCATCACCCACCACCACGGCACCGTCCTTGCCTGCACAGGAGAAAGACCATTAATTAATAAGTGGCAAGGGGAGGGGGAGAGAAAAAAAAACTGGACCAGCCAGGAGAAGCCGTAGATACCTACCAGTGACAGCGAGCTCCATTCCCGCTGGTGCCTCCTCATGCGGTTTGGCAGCCACACAAAGCTTACGATCATCGTCAAACTTGTAGACGCTGTAGTCGGGTTCTTTGACTGGCGCCTCCACAACCAGCACACCGTCCTACGAAACAAAAGATCCGTTGTAGAAAGGCACTCAACAAGAAACCCCCAACCCAGCCCCCCTCGGAGGGTAGAGGTCATTCACTCACAGATGTTAGGGTAGCGTGGAAGTCGTCCTTGTTCACTTTGTCAGGAACAACCACCGAACGACAGAATTCGCGAGTGCGTACTCCGCCATCAGGCAGGTCCTCCTCCTTCTTACCATACACAACCAAGCAGTTGCCTCGCGTGGTTACCTCAACGTCCTCTGGCTTGAAGTCTTGGACATTATACCGGGTCTTGAAGTAGAGCTGCAAAAAACAGAGTTGGTCAGACAGAATCCATCTTATAAAGACCTGCGCGACTATGAGTGGGGTACTTACATGACCATCCTTGCCGGGCTCATATGCATCTGTCAAGTAGCCGAGCTCGCTGGCGGCGTTACCCATCGGCACTGCCGCATGGCCGTTGGTGTCACCCGTCAGCGCTGCTATCTCACCAGGGGCCCCCGCACCCATGGCCTTGATAGACTCCTCCATCTCATTACGAAGATTCGCCAGGTGCCGATCCACGAACCTAACAGTGGCGGGCACATCACCCAAGTCCAGGTCGGAGAGCTCAAGCGGCTGAGGGAGAGATATAAGTGGATTTAACAGCGTACAATTGGCACAGCTAACGAACATACTGTGATCAGCTTAAACATCCATGATAGAAATGCTCACCTGGAGAGTGAAGAAGTTTTGGGGCATAAGAGACATATCGGCCGATATGCGCCTGCTGGCGTGGTCGATCCATCTGTTGAGCTGTGGGAACCAGTCAGGTTGGGTGTGAACCCAGCTGCAGTCTTCGACTGGCACAACATGTGCTGATGCCTTACTGTCGGGTTCCTCGCGGGAACTGCCTGCTTTTAGGCCTGTCACTAGACCACGATGATGCTCCTCGAATGTTTTCTCATGCTTTTTAATCGGGTGCTTTTTTTCCAACCCCTCCGACATTGCGACAGGGCTCTAGGGATCGGTGAGAAAGGCATGTCCGCTCCTGCGTCTAGTGCCCGTTAAATAATCACACCTGACAGGTCGGGTACCTCTTTGCTGATTGGCTACCAGCCTAGTGGGCCAATGGGCTTGTAGACAGGCCACCTCGCAACTCCCTAGGGGTTACGGTTCACCATACACGGGACAGTAATATTAACAAACACAGTATTTACTTCTGCGATTGGATTAAGTGTTGATTATGCAGCCAACAATGGGCTGTCCGGGCATTGTGATTGGAAGTTTAGGTCGTGCCATGTCAGTTAGGCCAAAGCACGCATCTGCCGGTGTAGCCGGTTTGGTCTTTTCACAGTCGGTTCGCGATCGGCAATATAATTTGGATAACAGACTTCGTCCAGGTCATTTGGGCAGGTGTTATGTACAGAACTGTGCAATGATTTACCGTACTAACAACACAGGTATTAGCTAAGAGCCCAGACACACGTGTTTCGCCGATCTTATACCGCTGCCTGACCCAGCTGCGAGGGATTCAGCTCGTTAGCGGGTCCCCCAGCTTTCCCCGTGTGTTTTCTGGTATATGAACTCCACTTTCAAATTGCCTTGTTTAATTTCCGAGGAAACTAATGCGCGAACTTGGAGCAAATCTTTCGGAACAGACATTTTCAGGTACGATCCAAAGTTTGATATGAATATTTTAGCTGAAATGCATCAGCTACTGCGTAGTAACCACCTAATATTCACAAACCGCCAAAAGGCGGTACCTGAAAAGGTCTGTTTCGAAAGATTTGCTTCAAGTTCGCGCATTAGTTTTCTCGGAAATTAAACATGACAAGTTGAAACTGGAGTTCATATACCAGAAAACACACGGGGTAAGCTGGGGACCCACTGACGATCCGAACCCCTCGCAGCTGCGTCAGGCAGCGGTATAAGATCGGCGAAACACGCGTGTCTGGGCTTTTAGATGATACCTGTGTTGTTAGTACGGTCAATCATTACTGGCTGCCTGTTGGCGGTTTGTAAATATTAGGCGGTTATTCCGAAGTAGCTGATAGATGTCAGCTCAAATATTCATATCAGACTTTGGACCGTGCCTGAAAAGGTCCGTTTCGAAAGATTTGCTCCAATTTCGCGCATTAGGTTCCTCGGAAATTAAACAAGGCAAGTGTTAAGTACCACTGATTGCTTAAAATCAATGAGATTCTCATCCATCGTGCGTTTACTTGCCACCAATCCTTCTGCTGCATGTCGTATCTCTGTACCCGATACATCCATGTAGGGTCTTCATCCTCTTTTAGCTTTTAATTTTCTGATAAATTAATCCTTAACTTGGCATAACTTAGTCTGAGTGAGCTTTATAGGCTTAGCCGAAAGGTAATATGAGTATTTGCGCCGGAGTCTATATGCTACACCGGGATAACCGCGTTATATTCATAAACTGCCGATGGGCAGCCAATAGTATACTCATGTTGAGCGATTTACCATACTGGTAGCACAGGTACTGGTTAAATGCCCAAGGATGTGTTTTGCCGATAGTATGCCGCTGCATGACACTGCTTTATCATCTGCTAGTACGCTACAGCATTTCAGTGGCTGCGGACAAGGCAACAGTTGTCTGTGCTTTAATTCTGCTCCATTTGGTTGAGGGTCGTCGACGCTGCAGGGGGAACTAGCATGTCTACTTCTGACCTCTTACCCACCATCAACCACTAATATCCCGATCCCAAACCAAGAAGATCTCAGGTCTCTTATTGCAACCCTCTGACTGCCCTAACCGTCAAATAAACGAGCAATCGATTTTGACCAAACTGCTCTCAAACTCGCGTAATGAGGCATTTAGCAGTAACAGTTCACCGCTTATGCAAAGCAAACGCCCCCAAGCAGAGCAGTCATGAGTGACGGCGCCGGCAAATCCCGTGAGCGAATTGGTTGTTATAGCCGAGATAAGTACTACACATGGTGAACTGGCTGGGATCATAAATTCGATGGAGGCCGGGCAATGTAAGTCAAATGGCCTAGTGTCGTGTGCAGGCATCGGTGGCCAAAAGTAGCCGCGTGTCTGGGCCTTTGGCTAGTATTTGTGCTGTCATTGTGGGATTATTATTCAAAATGTATATACTACTAACTGTCTGTCAGCAGCTTGTGAATGGTACGCAATTATTCAACTGAAGCTGATGGATTTCAGCCGAAATATTCATTCTAGCTCTCGGACTGAGCCCGGAAATCTTTATTCCGAGTGATTTACTCCGTGTTAACGCATAAATTCCTAAGCAGATGAAACTGGTAAACAATGCGATCTGGAGTACATGGTGGACGCTGGGACACTGACTGATGAACCGAACCTCTCACAACTGCGGCATGCGAAGGCACAATGATCAGCGAAACATGTGTGCTGTCAGTATAGTGGACCATCCACAATGCACACTGGCTTGTGACGTCTCCATGATCTATCATGGGTGGTTTCACAGTCCGAGATGTGGAGTGGATGGATCTCGCCCATAACTTGTCGGTCAAGTACGCACAGACAAGTGGTGCATTCGCTTGATGTGGCGTCAATCATCCCATTCAAACAACACAGCGCTGGCATTCAAACCAAGACAAACTATGATTGTACAGGGCTATGTGATGATGCACCGGTGGCAGTCTGTTCTCGCGACCGGGCCAAGGCTGCTGTCTCAGAGAGACCGCCGGACCTGCCCCAAGTACGAAAATACGCTGGCTCACCACCACCTTCCCCTCCACATTCCCTGTCCTCTGTCTCTACACTCTGTCTACTTCCTGCACCTGCAACTCCGCTGTCACCAACTATGACTTCCTCATCAAATCCAAATACTTCCGCCGAAACACTCACGCCACCCTCCCACCCCCCCCCCTCTCCTGTCCCTCCTTTTTATGTCCCACGAAGAGGGCGCCGTGTTCACTTCGCCGACCGTTTGGCTTGACTTGAACAATTCCTTCGGCGTTGTTACACATCGTCCATGGTCTAACCGGGAGGAGGGGCTACTGTGACAGTCGGCTCCGTCTAACACCCCCTCTTAATAAATTGTTCGGGCCGCTTTTAGCTTAATTCCAGAGTGGCGAGTGTTCGAGGCCGGCCGACACTGAGTCCTTCGCTCATTGGCTACGGGCGAACAAATCTAAGGCGCACGCACACGTTTCGCGCCGGAACTAAAAATCTCAACGGCAGTCACTGGTCTGAAGAGACGACATACTGTCATCGCCTGCTGGGCTGCACGAGCGAGGATTGGATATGGAGCCCATTACGAAAATTCAGCAATATACTCCTATAATACGGGGGGGGGGATTTTAATAGGGGTTTTACGAGGCAGATAAAGGTAGTAACTACCGGAATCCGTGGAAGGCACTGAAAAAAACTTAAATTTCGCCATACATGTGTTTGCTTGCTCGAACGACCTGCTCGAACAGACAACGCAATCTAAAAGACGAGACTTAAGACAGCGTAAAACGCGTGGAAAACAGGCAAACTGTGATTATAGGTTAATGATGGCCGGATTTGGTAAGACGGTGCGCGACAGGCTAACTTTAGTCCAGCTTTAGCCCTACCCTTGAATATAACCTTGAACCTAGCATTACCCCTTTCCTCAATCCTCACCTCAAACTTAACCTTTGCCGCAACCCTTTTTTGCAAACTTAACCACAATCATACCGTAATATAGCACGCCTACGTAAATTATATAATGGAGATTGTTGCAGTAATAAAAACCAAAGGCTATATACTCAATCATCGCCTCTGCGTGTTCGCTCTCCTGCTACAATAAAGTTTGTCTAATAATTGTCCTCCCTGACATATGGTTTGGCAATCTTTGAGTTTTAGGGTAAGTGGATACCACATTAATAGTACAGGTACTAGCCAAATGCCCATACACTCGCGTTTCGTCGATTTTCTGCCTCTGCATGACACAGCTGTGAGGGGTTCGGTTCATCAGTGGGTCCCCCAGCATTCCCTGTCTGCTTTCTGGTAGATACTCCAATTTACAATTTATGGCTTTTTAATTTCCTCAGAAATTAACTGCTAACTGTGAGTGAATCAGTATATTCCAGGTCTATAGGCACAGACTGAAATTTTTATGCATGAATATTTGGGCCGAAGTCCATCAGCCACAGCGGGTAACCACGTAATATTCATTAACTGACGACAGGCAGCTAGTATATTCTAGGGAAGAGGATACTATACCAGCAACACAGGTGCTAGCCAAAAACCCATACGCGCGTGTTTCGCCGATATTATACCGCTGCATAACACAGCCGTGAGGCGCTCGGCTCATCAGTGGGTGCGGAGAAGGAGACACGATCGCTGTAACAAGTGCTTTATTAGCCTGACGTTTCGGATTCTCACTCGATTCCATCATCAGTAGGTCTCCATGCATTCCCTAAAATATACTACTAGCTGCCTGTCGGCAGTTAATGAATATTACGTGTCTACCCGCTGTGGCTGATGGACTTCGGTCCAAATATTCATACATAAAAATTTCGGTCTGTGCCTATAGGCCTACAATATACTGATCTACTCCAAGTCCGCAGTTAATTTCTGACGAAATTTTAAAGCAACAGTCTTCCAGAGGAATACGCAAAAGGGGCTTCATTCACTGTGACCAGGAGATAAATTAGCAAAGTAAAAAAGAGTCAAAAGGTTTACATGAAAAATGAACATATGCTACGGGTACAGTCCAAGTCTCAATTTTTGTATTTCTGTCCCTTTAAATGTAAGGCATCGCAACAGATATGGGAATACTGAACGCTGATATGCCGATGTACGGTTAGATATACGTCGGAAGCCTCGACGCATCTGGCAGAAATACTTCGCAGCAATTATATCAGAGTAAAGACGGCGGAAACATCATCCAGAATTCTATCAGTGAATTTTTTGACCGTTGTGAAATGTCGTTGCATTATCATGTCAGCTAAAACGATGCAAGAAGCACCAGTAGCAGAAGAGTGCGTTCACAGGACTCGTTTTAAAATTAGCATACTTCTTCTAAGCGAAGCAGGAAAAATAACGGGACAGCAATAAAGAATGAGAGGCAGAAGGCAGGCATCCATAAATCTCCAGACTAGGAGTTGAGGTGTGAGGGAGGAACGCAAACAACAAATGTAAGGAAAAAGATTATGAATTTTAGTGAAGGGAGAATGTCACGGTGAAACTAAGGTACCGGACAGAGGGTACCTCGTTACGCAGAACGCCCAAAGATAAAGGACTGAGAAAGGTTCGCAGTCAGAAAACGCATTGGACAGATTTCTGAGTATTCAGTAAGAGAGCATTTTCTACCGAGCATACTGAGACGCAGTGCAGGCCATCCTTCAGAAGGTGGAGATGTGTTTGATTTTTGGGAGGAAGACCAACAGCCATAGTGTCCGCATACTTACAGTCCGTTTTCGATCTCATGGAATGTCGGCCAAAATTCTGGAATGCGTTTCCGATTAGGAAGGGTTACTTAAGTGGGGTTGTTATACTGATTATCATGTAGCATAACCCTATGACATTTCGGACTCGCCAGGACGTCGGCTTTTGAATGCACTTCTTTTTGACCTTCTGCAGAAACCACACTCGGTAAAACATGACTACTTAAGTAGCATGCATTTTTCCTATTGATGTTCAGTGGTCTTATAAATTCAAATATATTTTATTGAAAACATGCACAAAAAATGCTTTCTTTTGCTCATTTGGAAGGAAATCACATTGTCTTCATATTTTATGCCCGAAAAAGTGCATATTTAGGTTTTAAAAAGGTTTCTAATCATGAGATTTTTAAGACCGTGCCATGTCCATGCACGCAAGACCGTACATGTCCGTTTACCAATGCTCCTCATGAAATGTACAACACAGACCGGATCCATTGCAAAATTTCATGAACTCTATGTGAAATATATGATTTTCCTTACGCAGAAAGCATGCACCTTGTAGGCTGAAATTGTTAAACGCTGATGCAATGGCAGATCAGGCTGAAAATTATTCGGGAATCGGGAAACTTTTTTAAAACCAAAATATACACTTTCTTCGAGCATAAAATATGAAGACAATGTGATTTACTTCCAAATGAGCGAAAGAAAGCATGTTTTATGCATGTTTTCTGCAAAATATATTTGAATTTATAAGACCATGGAGAATCAGTAGGAAAAATGCTTGCTTCTTAAGTAGTCATTTTTTACCGAGTGTGGTTTCTGCAGAAGGTCAAAATAAGTGCATTCAAAAGCCGACTTCCTGGCGAGTCCGAAATGTTATAGGGTTATGCTACATGATAATCAGTATAACAACCCCACTTAAGTAATCCTTCCTAATCGGAAACTCATTCCAAAATTTTGGCCGACATTTCATTAGATCGGTCACGCACTGTACCATGCAGACAGTCATTTGGCGATTTCAAGTCGTCAGTATGACGGGGGAGGAGGTGAGGGGATAAGATGGAACCTTGAAGAATTCCACGGTTATTTGGAAGGATAGTGGATTTCCGCTTGTTGGATTAGACGAATTGAGTGTTAAAAGTATAATCATCAAGCCAATAGGCAGCCCAACTACGAGAGCCGCACACGAATGTTTGGGTAAGGGGGAGATGGCGCGGGGCAGTACTGAAGACTGAGAAGAAGTCAAGCAATACACATGTGTACGCACAGCAACCCTTATCCAAATCTTTTTGAGCAGAGCGGATCGCAAGAGCAACAGCATCTAGGACGCCACGCCTGACCTTACATGCAAATGGAAAATGGCCGCAAAAATTGGCGGAGGAATGCATAATAATATCCAAGGCAATTCGTTCAGAGACCATCAGAAATGTGGGAGAGCAGGCAACTGGACGAAACAAGTTAGGACCAAAAATATTGGGGTTTTGGGGGAATAGGAATGATTCTTACTGCATGCCAGGTGTCAGGAATTTCGGACTTGTTAGCAAGACGTGTCAAAACAGGGTCCATCTGAGAACAGCAAAAGTTAGAGAGAAATGGTGAGACACCATCCGGCCAGACAGCTGTTGATCCACAGACTTATTTTAAATTTTTATCCACTGTTGCCACAGACACAGGCAGTAAAGAAATGTCGTTGGAGGAAGTTTGGAGTCATTGGGAGAAAAAAAGTAGTCATTTAAAGAATCTAAATCACCATTCAAACGTGGCAGTGCGTCACGTTGACTAGTGTGGCTCTTAAAATTCTTTCAAATTTTAACAGAGGAAGGAGGAAAAGATGAAGTGGAAGAGGAGACAAAAAACCAACCAACAAGCAGGTTGTTCAGTCTGACAATCTCTCCTTCTATTAGGTCAGTAACGTCCTTCAGACTGTCAAGTAGGCTTAGTTTGTAGAGAAATTCATTTTTTCGCCCTAAAAATTTCAGACAGACAGAGGACATTCCACCAGGCTGTACCGTAACGGTATCAGGAGGACTGCAAGTATTAAAAATTAGAAATGTTGTAAGGTAGCCAGAGCATGATTCGACATCCGCTTTTTTGAGGAAAGCGGTAATAATTTAAGATATACAAGTCTGACACAAGCAAAGGTTTTGTGGGTATGTCTGGTTAACAGAGCACGCCTAGAAGTTGTATAGATTTTCGGAAGACTCAATGACAACACAGAATGGTCTGAACCTGACAACGGAGCTCTGTTTTCAATAAGAAAAAGCTTGGATAATTGATCAAAATGTGTGACCAAGAGGGGCACAGACAGTCAGTTGGTAAATGGCAATTCATATGTACCGTCGAAAGCAATCCTCCAATAAGCCTTAGTCGGGATATTGAAATTCAGCGGGACTGGGGAGGACGCTGTCGTTATTGTTCCTAAGATGCATGCAATAAGTGGTAAATATATGTGGGCTAAAGGACATTTCGTGCTCCCCCACAGAGGAGACGGATTTTGGACAGCAGAAAACACATACGTCAAAAGTAATATGACAGGGTGTATTTGGAGGCAAGTGCATTGGGTTAACTGGAGACGGAGATGCTCTCTGCCCTCCGTGTACCCCCATATAGAGCACCGACCCTCTCGACGTTCAGAATTCCTTAAACCCGAGGGGTTAACTGCCCACACAGTGCAAGCCGGGCGTGCTACCTCGGGCGTAGGGTGGATACAATCTCGGTGCGTGTGTGAGGAAAAGTATTTACATGCCAACGAACTAGTCTGGCCAATCTGCACCTAACCGTTAACGCCGAGCAGTGAAGTAGTAAAAAGTGCCGTTACTGGCTCGAAGCGCATTCCACCACCAAATATCCTACCTCATCGACCGCCCTCGACCCAATTATACAAAGTCGAGGCGGGTGTCTGATCGTTTCTCCAGCCCAATAGGCCCACTACATCGCGTGAATCAGGCCTGGGATGGCCAGCCCAAGGCGAGGATCCATTGAAGACATACCATGACAAGCTGGTGTACTGATCGCAAATCGTGGAGGGCCAACGAAGCACCGATCCTCTGCTGAGCTGTCAGTCCTGTCTCCGTGAGATGTCCAAGTGGCATTTTGGTAGCCCACTCTCACTTCTCGGCATTGCTATCGGGAAACATGTGCCAGACAGACGTTAGTGCCTTACAGTAGGCAGCCGACCAGAGCAATTGTTGAGAGCAACGTTGTGCGGGTAGGCGCCTCGTAATAAAAAAAGGACCGTCAACCCTCAGGCCCCTTGATACATTCGAGGAGTTTGTGGTCTGCAGCTCCCTCTTCAACGTCTGCTCAGCCACGCCGCCATCTAGATGCAGCCAGTTGTCGTGTCGTCGAAATCACCCCCGTGCTCCCAAGAGCGAGTGACCCCACGTCCATACCACGCGCAGTGCGGCACTGACGAGATCCCGGCCCATCCCCCGACAGGGTGGGCCGCTATCCTGGCGTCTACCCCACGGGATAACCAGGAAAACAAACCTAACCGTAGTCACTCCAAACTTGCCCCCGACATGATATCGACGGGCTTTGAGACTGGACAAACTTGGGGTGCAGTTACCACAAAACCACAAATGGGAACAAAAGTTAAGGAAGGACATATAGCACCGGCACAGCATTGGGCAGGAAGCGTGGAATGCGCGAATACACTGCGCGCGCACACACAACGGTCCCCTCACAACCGCAGCGGTCAGTCCCGGTAACGTAATCCCCTTCGGCCCAAACCTACTTCCTCTCGACGCCAAGTCGGATCAGACACAGGCAAGTTTCTGCGGAAGACGGCAAACGCACTTCCATGATTTATTGTAGGCGAAAAACAAAGATCTAATGTTCAGAATTTCAGGAGTGGAGCCTCCAACACAAGACGATTGTCCTTCAGAACCGCAGTTGCTGAGCAGGTGTCAATAGTTTGGGGGATAGCATAGGTCCTGGAGAAATGCGCAGTCTCAGAGCTGTGGACGTGACCATCGACGGTCTTCTCTTCATGCTTTGTAGCATGACTGCCACTAATACGCACGCTGTTGGCATTCATCCTGATGGTGATATCCTTCGGATCCAAGTGCGAATCCACAGGCACCTCCAAATGCAGCTTCCTGTGGTCCCCATCACCCACCACTACGGCACCGTCCTTGCCTGCACAGGAGAAACACCACCAATGAATAAGTGGCAAGAGGGGGGAGACAAAAAAAAACTGGACCAGCCAGAAGGCGTAGATACCTACCAGTGACAGCGAGCTCCATTCCCGCTGGTGCCTCCTCATGCGGTTTGGCAGCCACACAAAGCTTACGATCATCGTCAAACTTGTAGACGCTGTAGTCGGGTTCTTTGACTGGCGCCTCCACAACCAGCACACCGTCCTACGAAACAAAAGATCCGTTGTAGAAAGGCACTCAACAAGAAACCCCCAACCCAGCCCCCCCCCCCCCCGGAGGGTAGAGGTCATTCACTCACAGATGTTAGGGTAGCGTGGAAGTCGTCCTTGTTCACTTTGTCAGGAACAACTACCGAACGACAGAATTCGCGAGTGCGTACTCCGCCATCAGGCAGGTCCTCCTTCTTCTTACCATGCACAACCAAGCAGTTGCCTCGCGTGGTTACCTCAACGTCCTCCGGCTTGAAGTCTTGGACATTATACCGGGTCTTGAAGTAGAGCTGCAAAAAACAGGGTTGGTCAGACAAAACCCATGAGTAGGGCACTTACATGACCATCCTTGCCGGGCTCATATGCATCTGTCAAGTAGCCGAGCTCGCCGGCGGCGTCACCCGTTGGCGCTGCAATCTCGCCAGTGGCTCCCACACCCATGGCCTTGATAGACTCCTCCATCTCACGACGAAGACCCTCCAGGTGCCGATCAACAAAACTGAAGACGGAGGGCGCACCCGCGTCGCAGATATCAAGTGGCTGAGGGTGAGAGGTAGATTTAGCAGTGCAGATTTGACAGACCACGAATGTAAGAACACCATCTCAAACATTAGTAAACAAAATACTCACCTGGAGGGTAAAGAAGTTATGGGGCATAATAGACAGGTCGGCGGACAATCGTCTGCTGGCGTTGTCAATCCACCTGTTGAGCTGGGGGAACCAGTCAGGTTGAGCGCGAATCCAGCTGCAGTCCTCAACCGGCACAACATGCGAGGCTGTCTTACTCTCGGGTTCAGTAGAGCTGCATGCCTTTTCTAAGCCAGATACCAGACCCCTGTGCTTCTCGCTGAATGTTTTGTCATCCTTTTGAATAGGATGCTTCTTCACAGAATCGCCACCCATTACGAAAGACAAAAACACACAACACAAGACATGGAGGCTTTTACGAGTACGCTGCTTTTATACTTTCTACCAGCTGGACATGTACTCTCTTCCCTGGTTGGCTAGTAATGTACGTGACCAATTACCATACGCCCTTCTCGTCGTACAGGCGATTGGTTAGTGGGTGCTGAGCCGATTTGTGACTAGGGCGTGCACTGTGTACTGGGCCGTTTCGCTCCACCCTCTCTTGTCGGTTATGGGCGTGAGACCGTTTGCACACTCCCATCGTTGGAGCGGACGTCGGTATCCGTTTCTGTGACTTGACCACAAACGCGCCTTCAGAATTTAATTAATGTCTCCCGATGCGACCGAGCTACTGGCTTTGTCGTAGGGTGTTTGAGGTAGCGCTCAGTGACCGAAGATTCGAGTTTTAAACCTATTTATCTAATCCTTGGGTTTTGGTATGACTGACCTAAGACGACTGCTAAGTCGGAAATGACCATCCACACTCCATCTTCTTACCGGTATTCTGCGTGAGAAAACACTATTTTCCTGTTTCTGATTCCACTCTTCGTTTGAAGTTTGATTGTTTGAGCCATCTTCGCGGAGCGCATTTGTAACCGCGTTAGGTAATTTTTCTGACGCCGAGACAATGGCTTATTTTCATCCAGATTAGTCTCTCAGTCATCACCTGGTGTTAGGTGATAATTCCAACGGTTGGCATCCCATGGGTCGCCTTCAAATGGTGATCTGAACAGAAGCAGTGCCTACGAATTGACACAGCACGCTCTCTGCGCTTTTTACGATTCCCGAAGAACGCAAGACTAATTCCAATCTTTCATTAGTTCCTGCATCTATGTGTTAATGAGACAAACAGCCTCCAACTCACCGGCATTTTCACGTAATTTTTTCCTGATCCGGCTTGTTAGTTTGTACTTGATCAGTTCACTATGTCAACCTTTGTTCTGCACTATTTTTGAACCTTCATAGGACAACGATAGGGTGTAGGACCACCAACTAATTTAAGCTAGTCTGTGGGTCATGTCATGCGTTGAATTGTAGCAGAGGGAGTTTTACGGGCGGGACAACACAGAACGGAGAGCAAAAGACACAGAAAATGGATAAATTTCTGCCGAAAGTCTTATCGTACGCTGTCATTTGGCAAAGAAAGTGAGCGATAATTAAAAAATAATGGCCATTGAATAAGGCGCCGCTGGTAAGTTGGCATTTAGTCAGGAAGGGAAGGAAATTTCAAACAATGGGAGCGGTGAATAAGTGATGTTTACAGTCACATTGGATTGCAGGGTTTAGTTTTGTAGTTGCCGTCTACTTGGGGCCCCTACACCCTATCGTTACCCTTCATAGCTTACTGGTATCTAATGTTCTGTGCTTTATGCATTTATATTTGCGTCTTCTTCACATGCTGGTGTCGCAAAACTGCCGCCTCCTATGAGTGCCATGAAAATTGTGCTCATTCAGATGAAAGAACCGAGGTTCCACATGGATCACCAACCACTGCAATGACGAAACGCGCCTATCCGTACACCTGATCACTCTTCCAGACTCGCGCATTTGGAAAAACCCGCCAGAAAGATGCTCCTGACACTTACACCCTTGAAGTTTCCGTTGAAAACTCGGGACACGTATCTAAAAATCAAATATCGTAGGCTGGCGCCATAAACTCTGCAGTTGATCTGCAATTTAGCAAAGGAAATTGCAAACACATCGCCATTTTCGGTCAGCGTTTAGGAAATTCAGCCTAAACCATATCACTGGCGCCGTACTTATATAGTTATTTATTAATGTATCAGTAGAGCACGAAATAACCGCATAAAGTTACTTATTTCAAAATGTCTTCAGAGGGTTTCCTTTATCTTGGAAAGTGTCTAGCTTACAGAGCATCGACTAGATCAGGAGTATTTGTGTTCAAAATCAATAAGTGAGTGCGGCATATGTTTCGTTCATCCGTGGAGATTGCTTGTCAATCTCAGCAAACGTAAAATTGCGTTACATTTAACTGTATTTTTTATAAGTATTTCCGCAAAGTTCTGGCCAACGTCACACTAAATGGTTTCTTCCAGGAATTCGCGATGCAAGCCCCGGTAGAAACCGGGGATTTACTTGTCGATTTCGATCTACTATAGAATGTCTTAGATCTAATCGTTAACTGACGTGCACATGCTGTCTGTTTCTGAACAAAAAGAATATACGTTTAGAAAAGCTCCCAACTCACAAGCAAGCAGTTATTGAAAACCATATATGAGCAACACCAGGGCATAGTTTCACATTCTCAGGAACCGAAGCTAGGGAGAGAGAAGATGACTAAAATTTGAGAAGAATATCGTCCAGCCTACTTAACCACGCAACTGGTGTTACACCTACATGAAAATTAGATTACAATGTCAAATATTTACTTAAAATAAGTGTTTTAAAAGGTTCACAGGCAGTTTTCCTGATCCTGGGAAGCTCTAGCCTACAAAGTATTAAATAGGTCAGGAGTATTTTGGCAATGGTGGGGTTTTTTGCAGCATGCATTTCCTCCATTCATACAGGTCGAATGTCAACTTCAACAAATGTAAATATACGCTGTAGTTAATCGTTTTTTTATAGCTACCTTTATAAACTGCCGGCTAACACCACGTTAAACAAATTTTCCGGGAAATTCTCGATGCAAGCCTCAGGGGAAATTTGAGATTCCTCAGACGATTACGGCTTGCTGTCCTATATCATAGATCAAATTGCTTATCACTGCTCACATGCTGCTTATTTCTAATCAAAAAAGATAGTTCAGGAAAGCGTTCCAAAAATTCGGTTAAAACGAACAAGCAAGCAGGTACCAAAGACGATGTGTGGACAACACCAGAACATACTTTCGCATCCCATGCCACCGAAGTTGGAGACTATGGTAATGATAACAATTCCAGACAGCTACTCCGCGGTCAGGATCTTTCTGAAGACAGAGCAGCCACCCAGTCAGCCTGCTAGACATTGCGGATCAGAAATTATGAGAGGATAATCCCTACGTGTGCAAGCATGGTGACACTTGTGCCGTGGAGCCTAGTGTCGCTGGCACCACATTTTGGACACAGTTGTGTGGAACCCAAACGACCAACGCTCCCACTCTTGACAGGGTGGTCATCGTAGCGTTCACCTCCCTTCATGCGTTTGATGTTTGTCTGCGATCACAAAGACCGCTCGATG